TGTAAAGCACTTTGTGATTTTATCTTGAAAGGTGCTATATAAATAAAATTTTACTTTACTTTACATTATGTGACTGACAGTGGAAAAAGAAAGGTTTTCCAGGTGCCTTCATGGATGTGTGTTTGGTGAAATTCCAACTTGTTTGTTTTGCTGCAGGTTCTTTGAAAAGACCAAGAACGAATGGGAGCATCGAGATAGTTTTGAGAAAGTAGCTGGAAAATATGACATGGTGTTTATGGACTACAGCACGAATGAAAAGGTACGTTTAGGAAAAGTCTTACTAAAAGTCATTCTTGGCATTTAGCAGCCATGTTGGCAAAGCCTCTGGGCGTTCTTACTTTGAAATTCCTATATAAGTGAATAGAAAAAAGCCATACTACTAGCGACAAAATTACTGCTTCATAAACACCTCAGTCCAGAGGCCTGAGCTGATTAGCATCTCTGGGTCCTAATTAGCTCTTTGGGGGTTGGATAACTGTCATCTCTGTTGTTTAAGAATTGTACCATAGATTTCTATTAAGGAGTCTTTGAGTGTTATAATGCCGAAACTTCTGTCAGCAGAAGTTGCACTGGAGAAATATGTTCAGAAATATGTTACATTCAATAAAAGATCACAGTAGATAGCCGCCCCTCCCCGAGCCTTGTTAAAAGGGATTTTTTTCTTCCCACTGTCACCAATTGTTTCCTTATATGGGGGCTGTCTGATTGTTTGGATTTTTTTCTGTATCTTTTTAGGGTTTCACCTTATAATATAAAGCACCTTGAGCTGACTGTTCTTGTCATTTGGCACTATATAAATAAAACTGAACTGAATTAAAAGGTTGGATGTGTCAGATTGTATTCTTGGATGTTTTTCACCATTCCAGGAGGAGAATCAGACCACAGTGGATACTGTACCAAAAAAGAAAACCTCCGAGCTGGATTCAAGGATTCAGTCTCTCCTAGAGCTCATCTGTGATCTGAAAGCCATGGAGGAGTGTGTGCTGGAGATGAAGTTTGACACCAAGAAAGCTCCTCTTGGTCAGTCTGACTCAAATTCATTATTACAGGTTGATTTGACTAAATGAGAAGATGAAGTTGGTGACAGAGTGACCAGTATTTCCATGCACTGTGTCAGACTTGACATTTTTCTTCCTTTCTATCTTTAGGCAAGCTGACCCCAGAGCAGATCCGAGCAGGTTACTCAGCACTGAAGAAGATCGAGGATTGCTTGAAGAAGAAGAAAGGGAGCAGTCGTGACCTTTTAGAAGCATGCAATCAATTTTACACCCGCATCCCACATGACTTTGGGTAAAAGGATGAAACTTTAGACAAAACCAGAGTGTGGATAGTTACCACCGATTCCTGTCTTGCTGTAACTAAAAGATGTTACCCTTATAGGTTGAAAACTCCCCCACTTATCCAAACAGAAGAAGAGCTGAAAGCCAAAATTGCCCTTTTGGAGGTAAAATGTTTTGATTTTATTCAGTTTGCTTAAAAAACCTTTCTTAACTGAACAATGTCTCCCATCCCTGTTTTAAAGGCACTGAGTGACATCCAGATAGCAGTAAAAATGGTCAAGTCCAGTGAAGACAGCGATGAACATCCTCTGGACAGACAGTATCACTCCCTCCGGTGCAAACTGCAGCCTCTGGACTCCAGCAACAATGAGTACAAGGTCAGTGTGATTTAAATAATTAACTAACCAGTTTTACCAAACCGTGTCACATTATTGATGATACTTGTTCTTAGCCTCAAAACAATTTGATAGGCTGATGTAGTTGCTTAAGACTTTTCTGCATCTAAATCATTATGCACAGAGAATAATTTATTCATTTGTAGTCATTTCACGTTGACTAGTCGATAGTTTGTGGTGAATCTTCTCATCTGATCATATTCTCCTTGGTAGGGCAATTGCTGGTGTTACATTATTAATGCCAAACCTGTCAGGGCTCATATATTATTTTTGACAGCAGGATGAACAGACTACTTGTGACCTTCTGACTGCTAGTTAATTTATGTTTACACTAACTAAACTAACTAACACTATGTCAGGAACATAGTGTTCCAGAGGTCTGTCTGCAAACACAGATAGTTAGTCTGTCAGCAGAAGCTGCTGCTGCTGAGTTTGTGAAACCTCCTGTCATGTCCAAATGTGAAAACAGCACAGGCTCTGTTGTTATGATTTCAGTTGAAATAAAAAAATATTTGATATGCTGGAAATACTAGCTTTTCAATGTGTGTGTTTTTTTTAAATCATTATTATTATTATTATTTTTATTTAGACTAAAATACCTATCTGGTGGGGCACTGCTCTGTAAACAGTGGCAAATCTTGTTTAATTTAATCCAGAGATAACGTGCATATATCTCACAGTGAACTGACTGATACTGAGTAGGTACCATGGAGATTTCCTTTGGCTGACTACATTTCCATTCACACTAAAACTTGTGTAGTTGTTAGTCTTCAGTATTATCTTGGATTCCTTTCAGCATTTTGCATTGAGCTAACTTTCCTCCTCTTTGTGTGAAGGTGATAGAGCAGTATCTGCACACCACTCACGCCCCCACCCACTGTGACTACACCATGACCGTGCTTGACATTTTCTCAGTGGACAGAGACGGGGAGAGCAAAAATTTCCTGTCACAGTTAAGTAACAGGTAGGAAGAAATACTGTTACTGCTTTATGACTTCAAGCTGACTTCAAAATCAGATTTATTATGCTGCATGTTTGCATTGATAAAAATCCAACATTGATGTCAATGAAAATTATGGGGGGTTTTTTCACAATGAGCCAAGCTAACCGTCTACCTGTCTGCCAGGACTCTGCTGTGGCACGGTTCACGTCTGTCTAACTGGGTCGGCATCCTCAGTCAGGGACTTCGAGTGGCCCCCCCTGAAGCTCCTGTTACTGGTTACATGGTAGGATGGAATATCAAAATTCAAAAAGACCAGTCCATAAGACCAGTCTTAGGTCCAACACAGGTTGCAGTACACTAGCGGAAAGCCTGGATATTAAATATTCAATATTTATTGAATATTGAATATTTACAGTACTTATTGTTGTCATCATTGTTCTTCATTGGTATCTTAAAATGTCTTGATCTTAATTTTTTAAAACGGTGTAGGAACCTCGGTGAGAGAATGAAAGACAAATAAAATATGCACAGTTTGACTTTGTCTCAGCTTGTATGTAACAGAAGTTAAACACATTTTTAAGAAAAAATCAATAAAATTGATCTAAATAATTACATTTTAAGGAGTCTCTAAAATGTGATCAATTTTCAACATGAAATTATCTCAGGCATTGAAATTGAACTCACATCGGTATATTACATTTTCTCATTTCTCTTTCACTCAGTTTGGTAAAGGTATCTACTTTGCTGACATGTCATCAAAAAGTGCCAACTACTGTTTTTCCAACCAGAACAACAACGTTGGACTGCTGCTACTGTGTGAAGTAAGGGTGGTTTTTTGTTTGTTTGTTTGTTTGTTTGTTTGCCATTAATAATTTTCATTATTGAAGTTTTGTTGCAGCTGCTCTGACCTGCAAATGTCTTAAATTTGCTGCCAAGGAAATGTCTTGTCTGTAATGTGCAATGAAGTTTTGTTTTTGCAGGTTGAACAGTTATATTTATAATTTGTATCCAGATACTTTTTTGATCCTGCAATGACTGCTGAGGTCTCAGGTAGAGACCCGTAGGAAGCCAAAAAAGCTGAATTTGATACCCAGAAAAATTCCTCTGCAAAGTGTAGTGGCCTAAATATAATGCAGCACTGGTAAATATTCATATATTCATGCCCACAGGTCGCTCTGGGAGAATCTAATGAGCTGCTGGATGCAGACTATGAAGCAAACAATCTGCCTGCTGGAAAACACAGCACCAAGGGTCTGGGACAGACTGGACCTGACCACAAAAACTCTGTCACACTGTAAGTCTTTCTAATTATAATGATATATTTAACACAGGCCAGTTACTGCTCAGTTATTTGGTCCATTGCTTTAAAACGAGGCCTTCATAAGTTTTAGCTCACTCAAAACACAGCTGCCTATCTTGTTTAGCACTGCTCATTCAAGGACAGTATAGACGGGATGCATGCAACCTCTAAGTTCAGTGAAGCAGTTCTCCACCTGCTGCTTACAGCAGGTTTCCAGAGCCGTCTAAGAACTGTCATTACCAGCTGCTGGTGTAGTCTGTACTACTCCAGGATAACAGACTCTCTGGAGAGCAGCTGAATGACACCAAAGAGCACAACAATACCCCACTGGTGGGAAAACACCATGGGAAGGTCCAGGAATAGTTGTGTAGAGATCACTTATCGTTTAAAACAAAAGGAAGGGAATATTGTAAATAGATGGGCAAAATAAATTAAAAAAATGCTAAAAAGCAACACAGAATACACTTAGGCAGCTTTAATGTCCCGTTCAAGCCCACTGAAGTAAAGTCTAGAGCTCAATTTGTGTGGGAAGCACTGATTTAAAGTGATACATTTAGTTCAGAGACCCTTGTAACCCATAGTGCTTGTATAGATTACCTAAACTGTTTATCTAATCTACTTAGACCTCTCTACTGAGGGCTATGTTCAAGCACTTCATATAAATGTCAGATGTTTATGTTACAGAAAAAGGCAATTTGGAGTGAGACCACTTAAATGAAAGTCAAAATGCTGAATGCTGAACTCTGCTGGCTACATGATGACTCATTCGTTAATGCACTGGCCTTGCTTTCCCCTTGTTTATTCTGCTGTTTTTCCTGCTGTGCCGCTTCTCCTCCATAGCTTCCACCAAATTCTGTTTTTCACTGCAGACCAGTCAGCTGACCATGAAACACAGCAGTGAATGTGTTTAGCTCCATTTGTGAAAATGAAGTCTGACCTGCCATGATAGAAAATGCAGTTTGTTTGTGGTTTGCTATGACCTTATTAGATGGTTGAAACTGCTGCAGTCTGTGGGGTTATACACTCATAGCTTCTCTAGTCTGCTTGTCACAGTTTCGTAAATCCCTTCGGTGTGTAAGGAGCCTGTAAGGCTGCAATACAACCGTAGCATATATGAATGTGGTGGGGGTGACGGTGTTTGTTGTGGTCGTGGTGTGTGTAGGCGTGAAAATAGGTGCACAAAGTTTTCTCAAATAATTTATTAAATAATACGAATAGTTTCTAAATGTAATTGGTAACCTGTCCAGGGTGCATCTTGCTCTATGACAGCTGGGATAGGCTCCTGCCTTCGTCTGATAAGTGGGAGAAAATGAATGCATGCATCAATAGATTGACCCACTTTGTGAAGAATAAGCAGTATAAATGTCTAACTGTGATCCCATGGTTGGATTTCTCACTGGAGATGTAGCTGGATGAGAAACAGACCAGCAGGAAAGGGCCAGGGGTAGGTGGTTAGCAACATCTGAATTGTTTCAGATGGATTAAAAAAACAAGTTTGAATAAATTGCCAAAGATTGAAGAGGTGTTCACATAACTGTGCCCCATATAAAATCGATGTGTTTGAAACACTGGGTTGAAGTCACTGTGAGTAGTCAGTGAGGCTAGAACGATGCTCCCTAAATGCACTCCATTTACCAGTGAACAAATTCATAGTCACAATCTACAAAAACGATAGAGAAGATTCAACAGTGTGAACATTTTAGAGCCATATTTATTTGTTGTTGTTGAGTTGTCTAAAAACAAGAATGCTACAGAAAGTAATTTCAAGATATTAACGCACAATTTACAGTCCTACATTAAGGCCTGTTAATTACTGAATCCTGTTTCCACTATAACGACTCTGTCATTATATATAGTGACAAGTCTCACCTTAGGCCTACATTTAACCTACATGCCATGAGCAGTAATTACATTCTTTTAGACTGGTATTAACAAACTGCACCTGTCCTGTTAGTAAGTTACCTGAAGCTGAAGAAATTAGTTTACGACTTTTCACTGCAGTTTTTTTAATGCCTTAAAATGCTCTTTAATCTTCGCATGATGTACCTAATTCTGTTAAAATTAGCAGGAGGTTTGGAATATATCTTTATCACTTGCATAGCAACAGCAGCCCTGCATTTGTCCAATACAAGCCCAAGGTTTGATAACGGAGCATATTCTATTTGTAAATTAATTGTAGTATACTGCTGCACACTGTTTGACAAAACATCCCCAGAGATGGATGGGATAGTGGTGCAGTGGTTAGCACTGTTGTCTCACAGCGAGAAGGTCCTGGGTGTGAATCTCCTGGCCAGCTGGAGTCTGCATGCTCTCCCTATGTGTGCTTCCTCGGCTTGTTAGGTTAATTGGTAATTCTAAATTAACGATAAATAAGAATGTGAGTGGTTGTCTGTCTTGTGTTGGCATTTTAATAGATTGGAAGTGCCCTGCCTCTCGCTCCAAGATATCTAGGATGCGATTGAGCTTTCCCATGATTCTGAACTGGAGAAGGAGTTAAGAGGATGGATCAAAGATCCTAAAAAATAGCCGAAGGAAAAAAAAAGAAATTGAAGCCAAAGAGTGCAGAATATTTTCCTTTTTTGGGAAAAAAATTGTTACAATCACCTAGAAGAAATTTTAAACAAAGGTAATTTGTGTTAATCCCACGGATTTATTTTATTGTTTCTCGATTTCTTTCTCAGGGACGGTATGACGGTGCCGATGGGGCCTGGCGTGAAAACGGGAGTGGGTAAATCTAACGCTTACTCCCTCCTCTACAACGAGTTCATTGTTTACAATCCTGCACAGACTCGCATGAGGTACCTGCTGCGTGTAAAGTTTAACTACTCATCACTGTGGTGAAGCCTTGGGAACTGTGTGCCTTTGTGAAATATGGATGAATGTTTAGGCGTTTTTAGTCATTCTTCATGTAGCGTTAACTTCTATGTTTCGGGGCATGGGTGGGGGTTGGATGTTACACCTGAAAACACTCGTTCATATAAGGCTGCAGCAATTGCTCAACTGAGAAAAATCATTTACAGCTGTTTTGATAATATAATGAATTGTTTTAGGGTTTTTTCCAAGACAAAAACTGTAGATGCGTCATCAAAGGCATGACTAGTGGATGTTTCATTATACAATAAATTATATTAAAAAGGAAAATCTTGCATATGAATTGATTTTCTCCCCCCCCCCCATCTTGGGATTAGTGCCAGCATTTTCACTTCTTTGACATCTTATATCGAATTGACTGCTGGGTTGAAATAACTCAAAATAATCACTGATGCTGGCAGCAGGATTTGCTGAAGGTTCTGCATCTCCATATATAAATGAGTGTCTGAGGAAACCATGAGGGACCAACTGAGGGAAAACATCAACTTTGAGTTCAACTTTTTCTTGGATTTTCTACAGTTTCTCTTATATCCTGGTATCATGTATAAGAAAAAGCTGTTGTTCGACAGAGGTTTGTTATACTAGATACTAGATACTTTAACACGGAGAGGATACACAAAACCTTTTGCACTACTTTTTGTCCCTGTATATGTATATTACTAAACGTCCTTGGATCAGTAGAAGGTCTCATTATCATTATTAAGGGTAGAATGGTTTTAGTGTAGGTGTTTGTTGTAACACAAATATTCTTCTGGATCTGTTATGAGGATGAAGGTTTTTAAATTTTGAAGAGTGGGAATAAAAATAAATGACTCAACATAAAGTGTGGTGTTTTTTTTTGTTTGATTTTTAATGGATTTAAATCTGAGACAAAGACGAGATTCTATGCAAACAGATTTTTTTTTTTGTGTGTGACATGATGCGAGGAGATTATATACAGCACATAATGATAGAGGACATTTTAATCCACAGTCTGAAGTGTCCGTTTGTTTTGTATATGCAGTTTCACCTCCTCCCCAGGATGTAGAGGAAAATTAGGACTACATCTAGGTAGATTCTGAGAGCAGCGTTGATGTAATCTTCTGGATCTGCACTGTAGGCCATCCTCCCCATCACCAGCTGACAGTCGATCACCAGGTACTAAGAGAGGCAGAGGAGGAGGAGATTTAGACCAGTGTGAGAAAAATGCGATCAAATTATATTAAAATACACTGTATTTTAAATTAAACAAAATACAGCTAATGCAGATTTATTTAAACTCCTTGAATTAAAGCTGAAACTCTTTGTTGTTGTATTTTAAAAGTGTCCTCATTCGAAAACCTGTGGACCTTACTGGATCTTGTTCCTTCTCTCACCAATGAAAACAACAGAGCTCCCAGACATCCATAGATAACTTCAGCAATGTAGCTGTAGTAGAATGTGCAAAATATCCCAAACATGGCGACGTCCACGACCAGAATCAACAAAGCACTGTTGCAATAAGTAAAATCATAGCGAGTCTGCAAATAACAGAAAGACATAAAGACATGAATGTCATTATTAAATAATCTATCAGTGTCTAATCTTATTTAGATTTTTTTTCTGTAGTGCACAGTAACCATGTGACATATGAAATGAACATGTGAAATATTAATCTTTTGAAACTTGAAGCATATGAGTCTCATAAAATAAGGCATTTCAGATCTTTCAAATGCAAGGAAAAAGTGTTTGCATACTCTCCAAGGGACTATGTTGATGTATTTAAATGTCTTGGATGAGAAATAATCTACAATATGAGCAATATTAAATTTACTGTGATATAAAAAAAACCTGCAAAATTAGCAAATGTTTGCACTGAAGGAGCCGGGACCAGTGATTTATAATTTTCTTTAAAATGAAAGATTGCTTAATCATTAAAAAATAGAGGGGAGATTAAAAAAACTATTGGTTGGGCTGATCAGTATCGGTATTTATAAATGAATATTTAAAAAAATATATAATAATGGAATCCTTCAACCATGGTATGAGTGGTGAAGTTGCATAGTTTGTCCACCAGAGGGCAACCTGCAACTTCCCTGCTGGCAACACATGTTGGAAACGCCACAAACAAAACAACCCTCTAATCCAAGCAGAGTCGGGCAGAACGTAAAGCAGTGAATAAATAAATACAGATAATGAATGTTAGGGGAATCTATTTATGTTTCGTGTGTCTGAAAGAAAAAAAAATCAAATATCAGAATATTCGATATCAGTCTTACAAATATCAGTCAATTAAAATCATCTATGACCAAATAGTTAATCAGCTTCCCTTTCACGTTACATTTTTCACTGCATGCATTTTGTGTTATTCTGATGTGCTGTGGATTTTCTTTACAGAAACCTTTCAGAGTTTTGACTTCAGCTGAGAAATCTGCACCCTGCTTTGGTGAAGAAGAAGAAGAAAGCTTTTCAAATGCAGCGCTTCTGCACAGCCTGACGGTCTCACCTGCGCTGAAAAAGCGATGATTGAGATAGAAATGGCCAGCGTTACTCCCATAGCCAGGATCACAGCAGTGGTGTTGTGAAAGGAGGCGATGGTCCCCGTCATGTATGACATGCTCACGGTGACAACAAACTGGAGGTAGAAAATTAAGTGCATTAAACATCTCCAGAACACGTGAAACACATTTTCCACTTATTTTCACTCAAAACAAAAAATAAGAACATATCAAATAATGAAAACAGAACAGAACATGTACAAGAAGCAAGGCCAGAAAGAAATTGTGTGAACGTGGTCTTCAGGTATGGATGCTTGTTTCCGACACTGAAAAAACAAACTTTTATATTCGGGCAATGTGGCCTTTTGGCCTCTGCTTTTCTAGTTTGTTGTGTTTGCCAGTCTCTTCCAGGAATTGCCGGGTTGAGGTGACCTAGATAAGAAAGCAGAACACATGAGCAGGTTTGGTTTAAGGCTTTTTCTTTTTCTCTTATACACACACTCATTCATACACTTGCCATGCATTCAGACATGAATGCACTTAATGAGTGCTTTTAAAAGAAAAGGTGCAGCAGTGAGCTTCTGCTTGCGTTTTGCTCTGCTGTACGTGCAGTATTTAACAACAACAGGAACAGGAAGAGCCTGTCCTAAATTAACATGCCAACCAAACCTGAAATCACTCAGTGAATCTGCTGCCCTTTAGAGAAAACTTTAGAGGTTTTGTTTTGGAAAATGTAAAAAGCAAACTTTCCACAAGTCATTTAGAGCTTTGAGTTCTCAGTTAGAATAGAAAAGTGCTACATAAGTGCCAGAACATTTACTATCTGTTTGTGGAAGTCTAAATCTTTGACAAAAGTCATCAGTGGTTTTTTTGTTGCTGTTGTTCTTATTCTGACCTTTATTTCCTTTTTTTAACAAAGTTATTGCTGAGCACTTAGCACTTATACTTTAACTTCTAGTTTTTAGTTAAGTGGTTCACAAGCTGAGGTGCCATCCTGACTGCATGACCAAAATATTTCACTTCTCTTTCCAAAAATGTGACTGTGCCGTGTTTCATATCCATTTGATACATGGTTTTGTTATTTGTGACCCACCAGTGCCACAATGTTCCACGGGTGATGCTGGCTGAAGGACTTGCAGCAACTGAGGGCGATGGCGACCACAACGAAGACGATGAAGGAACTGAGATAGACCCAAATGTTTGATTGCACTGCCTCTTTGACCACGCTGGAGAAGGTGAACACGCACACTACAGTGAAGGTGAACAGCAGCTGGAGCGTCACGATGCTAAAAACCTGTCCCGGAAAAGAGAAAAGGCTGAGTTTTGTTTTTTAAATTACAACTTTATTACAAAGTAACTACACTGTAAAAGAAAACTGCAAATGTTTTTCCTTAAATTTAACTCACATTAACAAAGAAGAACTAGTCCAACAATGTCAACTGTTTCCTTAGTCAGAGGCTGCTTTGAAATATTATAAACGTGGTGTCAAACATGCAGTTCTGGAGCCAGAGTTGGTTCACCAAAGACCCCAGACCAGCCCCCAGGATGGCCCAAAGAAATCTTTGATTTTTCAGTAAAATGCATACAGTAACTGGTGAGGTAACACCAACTTCATCACACTGGAGTCAAAGAATATTAAAAGTTGAGTATTTTTTAGATCTCGAGACGTTATTTCAATCACAGAGTAAAATACTATCAATGTTTAGTGCGTGAAACCTGTAAATGTGAAGAGTTTGTGCTTTTCAACAGTCGCTGTGAATTATAATAGCAATAAACTTAAGCAATACACTTTTTTAAGGTGTATCATCTGCAGAAGCAGGGTTCATTAAGTGTTATTGTTTTTAAAACATACTTTTAGTTCTCTATATTAAAATAAAGATGGGTTGTTATACAATGTCTTTACTGGCTAGTCCCACTCAAATTGGGTTGTATGTAGATCATCTATTCATTTTCCTCAATTTATCCAGTTCAGGGTCACTTAGCAGCTGGAGCCTATCCCAGCTGTCATAGGGTGAGAGGCAGGATACACCTGGAGAGGTTGTTAATCTGTGGCCATCCTAACAGAGTGGCAGCCGATCACATTTGGCCTGTTCAATATCAACAGTTAACCAAAGTGTGGGTCTCTGGACTGTGGAGAAAGCTGGAGTACCCGGTAAGGACCCTTGCAGGCTCAGGGAGGGTGTGGAAATTCAAGGATGCTTGTGTGGTCCTTGAAAATAAGTTTGACTTCTCTCTTTTCTCAAATCTACTTATTTGTGCTCAGGAAGAAAGTGAGAGAAACAGCCTCCTTAATCTTCCGCATACAGGCACAAAATAGTTCCTGATTTTGCCAACTGTAACATGTGATTACCACGTGCTGCAATTACCAGTTCATAAAATAAACAGCTCCCTAAAAGTAAACAGGATTTGAAACACCCAACTTCTCCCACTCCAAGTGGCTGTTGTGTGAAAGTAGACCCGACCAAAACATCTGGCTGCTATGTTGACGTGCCATTACGGCTTCCTGTAACTGGCTGTGAAATTCAGGGTTACTTAAGTTTTGTATGTTTTAATTCCTTTTTGATTCTTTTCCTCTTTTATTGTTTCAGTCTAGTTTTTAGTTTTAAAAATTGCTTTATTTTTATGAGCTTTTGTGTTATTTTCAGTTTCAGAATATAGAATAATATGTCATTTTTCAGGGGCAAGAAAGTTGACTTACTCATTTAATTTAGTCTGATTTTTTTAAGGTGCATAATATTACTTATTTTATAGCTAAATGGAATTAAAATTACTGATCATAACAACAACAAAAGAAAGCAGTTTTGTGTTGTTGTGTTGCAGCAAATACAAAGAGTACTTGGCGCACATGTCTCAGAAAGATTTTCAACATTTATGGTGGATTCTTAGAGTTATCGTCCAAAACGTAGCGTACAAACCTTTCTAATAAACCCTTTCCTCACTATCTCGTCATCAAAGGAAGATGAGGACACCAGCGGAGTCGTTTCTGATGATATCTGTGGGTTTATGTCATGGAAAGACTCATAACGAGAGATTTGAGGTGGTTTGTACACTGGTGGGGCTTCAGAGTAGGCTGGAGGCTGCTCTTCTTGGTAGGAATGCATCGATGCTGAGGGGACATCAGAGCCGGGATCGTGCTGTGTCTCCTTGGAAGTGATGGAGTCTGCTGACATTCTGGTAAAAACTGAAAGTCAGTGACAAAAGAGGAACCAAATGTAAAAGTTAAATTCAAGTAAACATCAGCTGTGGCATGTATATCAGCACAAGTGGAAAGTGCAAGGCTTAAAAAATACAATAAAACACGAGGACGTCATTAAAATCAGTAACCGAGCTACTAAAAGAATATTTCTACTCATATATTTGGTTTCAAATAGCCGCAATAATTCTGAATGGGGACAGAAGGGTCATGCACAGCATTGCAAGTCAGATGCAGATTGTTTTTTAAAAAAATCCAGGCTTGCTGCTGACTTGTTACACAAGAATGATGTGGGCACTGAGAAGTAAAATGTTTGATTTCAGCATTTACCGTGGGAAAGTTGGTGTTGTGTCAGCTGATGTTGGCTAAAAGATTTATGATACCCAATTAAACTGAACTTATTTTGCAAACTATATTGCAGTTTTCACACTAAAATTAGACATGCTGTCTTTACTTAAAAATTAAACACTTGAACACAAATGACCTTACTTTACTTCATTTAAGTTTAATGCACATTACACAATATTATTTTAGCTCATTTTGTTACAAATGAACTGTTGCTGGGAATATCCTTGATCTTTTTTAAGTTAAGACTACTTGTAGACAATGAAGTGTTTAATGGACAGAGCTCAGTTTTTGCTGCATCTTACATGAATTCTGTTTTTATGGACACTTGAATTAGAAGTCTATAAAGGGAACTGACCCAGAGTCATGGTGGCCTTTTAAACCTTTCAGGTTTTTGGCCACACTACGAGTGGAAATCATATCAGACATCCACAAGAATCTGAACGTCTAAACACAGCAAAACTTAAATAATGATCACAACATCAGTAAAGTAAGAGTCTGAAATTAGACATGATCAGATCCATGAATGAAATAATGCTGCCTTATTTAGAAAAAGCAGTCCAGATAATTAAATGAAACAAGAACAGTGCAAATTAAGTAAACTATAAAACTTGCAAACAGTTGTTTTTACCAGTAGGAGAAGCACTGGTGTCAGGTACACAGGACGTTACCTTTTACATACTGTAGTATAGGTCTATAATAGAGAGTAAATTATTGTTCTTCCTACCTCTGTTGCTTGATAATCCCACAGTACTTAATGTGATGAAGGCTACACGTTAAACCTGGACAGGCTGACGATGGCAGCTGTATATTTTACTTACGTGATATTGAGTTTCACTTCCTTCCACTTTAAAGTGGCGAAACCTTCTGATGACTGACAGGGTTTAAAAACTCCTTTGTTTCTTAACAGATCGTTGGCCATTAAAGTGTCCAAGGACTTCCCAGGGTCCTCCTCAGTCTGAACTTCCAGAATTGAGTGCTGTAAAAATGATTGATTTTTACATATTCCCCTGTGTCATTGTCCTGATTGTCTGTACCTGTGTATCATTCCTCCAGCTGTTCCTGCTTCCCTGATTACCTTATATGTATAAATAGTCCTCTCCTTTCCCTTAGATTTTGACATAGTGGCTGCATCATTCATTAGTTGCTCAGTTGTGTGCCTTCTCTCTGCATTGATTTGGCTTCTGTTTGCCCCTGTTTTTGGACTTGTTTCCTGGACTGCTTGCAACCTGAATAAAGGTTTGCCATTTGTTGCCGTCATCCTGCCGTATCCTTTTTCTCACAGTCTACCTAAACTGCAGTTTGTGACAATATGGCCAGGCTTCTCCTTCTGCAGCAAATTTGCTGAGTCCTTACTCCAGCAGTCAGCCTCTCGAATCATGTGATCAGAAGCTACTGACTGTTCTGCTTTCATTTTGAATCTGTTAAACTTTCATTCACTTTAACCTCCTAAGACCCGAACTCTTTCATGGCATGCATTTTTAATTTCTCTTTGCTATTTGGGCTAATTGGGACCTGATGAATGTAAAAACAAAGAATTACGTGATTTTTTTTTTTTACCTGTCTGTCTTTGGTTCAAAGTATTGCTTATGTGTGCAAATGTAGAAACAGGTGCTTGAATATGAGTACATTCATAATTGTCTGGTTTTGTTCAAATTATGAGGAAGTACTTAAAGTATAACACAAATAGTTCTTTTTTAAAAATAGTATTTATAAATGCTAACTAAATACAATATTCATAGAACTCTGGGGTAATATTTTGTCTTTGGAAAGCTGTCCTGAAAATATTCACATATTCAGTTTGTCTGCTGCTGCCAGGCATAGACTGTAATTGCAATAATAAGTGTGCAACCTATTTCCAGACAACTCATTCAGTGCTCACATTTCCCTCAAGAAAATAAAAGTACTAGGATAAATATTCATCTTTTGGGACAACACAAAATATTTTGTGTTTACTTCAGTTATTTTTAATGTCTGCTGTCCTTAATTAAAAACAGTATATATACACACACAACCATAATGAACAAACAGACACTAAGAGGAGTTGTTATTTAAGTGATAGCTTTTATTTCACAGGTTTATTATTTTTAAATTATGACATAGCTTATAGTTTTGAAGACGGTTGTGGTATATTTTCAGGTCTGTTTACATCACTGCCTCTTTTCAGTTTCATTTTCATTGTGTTTATACAAAACAACTATAGTGTGTGTTGATATTTAGGAAAATCCATTCTTTCCCCGACAAATGCTGTGATTCTTATAACACTGGCTGCCGGACACTTCCTAAAAATTTAAAGTTACTTTACTTTCTTCAGGTCAATTTCTGGAGCAGTTCAAGCTTAGAGTTCAATGGTGACGTCGAGTGCAGAAGAGGAAATAGCTGAGGGGCATCATGTGGTAGAGCTGGGAGCTTCAGTTCACAGATACTGAGGGGATGTTGTGGTTTCAACTGTAAAAAGAACTAAGGCACAAAACATGCTTTTAAATGCAACAGTAACATGTTGTGCCCTCCCTGATTTTTAGATTTAATGCAGAATAAAGTCAGAAATTCGGAACTTGGAAATGACCACATCACAAACTTAAAGCTCAGATTTCATAAATGGGAACTGTGTGATGTTTGTCTTCATTGCACAATGACCCATACCATTGCATAATGGTTGGGCTGTGCTGGGACTTGCAGGTACCAGCTGCAGGAGCTACAGTAGAGCTAGTTTAGATACTTGGACATTTATTTTAAAGCATTATTTCAATTAACTGTAATGTTGGTGGTCACAGGACACAAAAATTGCATGTATGGAATCTCCAGGAAAATCTGATCAAAACTGCTTAAAACGTTTGGTGACTTTCATCTGAAATAAGGATTGGAAGGATTTGATTTTTATTACTGCTGCTGAATTACTCATGCATTTAAATTCAGGATTGTTTGAGTGCCACGTCTCGCTCTTATAATGTCTCTGACCTGAACACAGTGTACTGTGCTTTATAAAAGCTCCTCATTGTGCTGTCTGGCTCTCACAAACCTCTTCTATGCTCAGCAGTGTGCACTTTGCTGTCTGCCACATATGCATATAAGCCTGAAATAACTGATATGCTGGCTTGTTACTGATGATTTTTGTAAAATAAGTGCATTACTTAGTGGCAGTCTTTAAGTCAGCCTACGACAGTAATACAAATCCAATTATTGTTTCTTTTAGGACTTTAAATATAAATGTGATAAAGCCATACAGCTGAGTAGACACTCTGGTTCACAGGTTGCCTTAAATTGCCTTAAATTTCATTTAACTTATTATAGTTTTGTATTTTCTAATTGGTTTTTAATTTTATTTTCACTTTGTTTTTAATTCAGTTTAAGTTCCAGCGTAGTTTTCCTGTTTCAAGTTAGTTTTTATTGTCACAAAATGTTTAGTTTTATTCGTGTAAGTTTTTCTTTTTAATTATATTACGGAGGGCAAATGTCAGAAGTAAGATTTCGGAGCATCAGTACAAGTATTAAAGTAAGAACACAGAACCTTTTGAAAGCTGATGACTCACAGTCTTGGAGACATCTAGAAACTCAATAAACGTGTGCCTCAGCAGGCTTGTTGTAATACAGTTTTTACCAAAGTAACAGATCCTAAAACTACAGATGTGTCCTATAAAATGTTTTTTCACATCTAATTATTTTTAGTTAACTACATTAACCTTGCTCTGGGGAACCCTTCCAAACAAGAACCACACTTGTTCAGCTTTTTCTGATCGGACCATCATGAACTGTAACATTTAACATGCTAACTGAGGCCTCTAGTCTCTTAGATTTCAAGTTTCTCAGAGCATTGCAGAGTTAGTCCTTCGGCAGGACCTCGTTGGGACATTTCACTCCTGGGAAGATTGGCAAATGTCTTGACCGTATTCCCACTTGTGAATAATCTCTCGCTGTAAAATGACAGACTTTTTTGGGGACATTGCCTTTATGTATTTTCCCTGCTAGCTCAAATCACATAAATATCTTCTGTGTTTACCTGGTTTCAGTCATGAGAGTTGGACCATGAAGCGTATCTGAAATCGTGCTACTTTTATGCATTTTGTTTGCTGAAATGTGATGTCGTTTATAAATCTGCTTCAGTAGCTCAGATGCATTTTAGCAGCAATTTTCAAAATGGTCAAAATGCATTTTTCTGCACCTTAAGGACATCACCATTGTGGATGTTTTTCATCATTTTTAGGAATTATTTATTATTGGGGGATGACAACAAACAAGAACAGCCAACGATGGCTTAAGATTAGTTACCAAACACCTTCCTCTGCTTACTTTACATTAATTATTAAAGAACAAGTAATGCCTCTCCTTCTGTTTATAAGATTGAGGAAACCTGCAGTCAGCTGAGACTGAAGAAGTCACTTGGATGAGTGACAGTATCAACCTTTGGAGATTCCTCTCCTTCTGTTCACATGGAGATGACATGTCCAATGTAACTCCTGAAATCTACACATATGCTTAAGCAGGCACCGCAGTCAAGCTCCACAAACAAGGAGACACATTTTTGACAACTTAAACCAAAACAAAAATATATATACACAAAACAGACACGGACAAAACATCTGTCACACATATTTATTGTAAAAAATACATATAAAAACAATTTTTGAGACATACAAAAGATCGGAGCTTAGAAACAGTATATTGAACAGACAAGGACCAAGCAATTTTCTTGAATTGTATTACATATTTACAATTTAATAAATAAAACTCAATTTGTTTGTTTTATACCAGAGTAAAGGCAGATTGTCCATATCTTGGGGATGCAGATACCGCTGTGGTGACATTTTAAACATCGGTCTGTAATCACAGGGCAGGCAGGGAAATGGCGCCCTGTGATTCGAAACCAAAGACTTGAGAATATTTATACAAAATACATCCTTGGTTGGAGAGGGGCTAGTTTTCACACAGAGCATTTAGCTAGCATTGGTAAAAATTTGAGGTATTGCACCGCACAGCTTAGAGGGGGTTAAGGAAGTAAATCAAGAGTAACGTGGCGGTTTTGGATTGTCTGTAATCTTTATTGACAACCCAAATGCCACCAACACCCCTCTGAACACACACACACACACTCACACAAACACCCCCCCTTAAAACCCTCCCAGCCAAAGTATACAATATCATAACTTATCACCACGACAAATGTAATCTGAACATCTAAATGATCAATGCGCCTCCTCTTCTGCCCTGTCCCCCAGAACAACACAGACCTAAATGCACAAACAAACTATTTTTGGCTTTATTTTTCTTTTCTCCAATACAAAATAAGAGAAACATGCACAAGGCTGCCCTCTAATGACGGGACAGGTTATAGCACCGCAGACTGCAGAACATTGGGGTGGGGGGAGACAGAAAAGACCAACAGAGGCTGGGGTGAACAAACCTGTGAGCATGGCTCACCTCTTGGCCAACCTCTAAACCGCCCCACACCACTGCAGCGCTGAAAGGTAAACACCTTTAGAGCAGGCAGCAAAAGCAATCAGTTACAATATATTTTTTGTTCTTACTGCTAGAGTTTCCACTGGCCTACGTACGACCTGTATCAGGCAGCATCTGTTGAGCAGCCTTACTGTTTCGGCTTCCACTTCAGCTCAGCCCCCAAAAACAACACCACAAATACCTCTTTGCACAAGAACCCCTTCACCAGGCAAAAGGCAATCAACACACACACACACACACACAAAAAGAAAGGCCAAGGATAGCCATTTAACACATTTAGCAACAAACATGAGCATTGTGATAATAAAATAGCCTAAATAAAAAAAAAAAATAAAAAAAAGGGGGGGGGGGGCTGCTTATGTAATAATTAACCATCAGCTGTCCGTAGCCTCCAGTGTTATGGATCGAGGCAGATACCACATGGTGTACACTTGCTCCAAAAATACATCTGTCCCTTTATCTCCCCTCGATCTGGCATTTGTGTAACCAGATGGCGAAACTGTTGCGTGGTCCAAAAGCAGAGAGAAAGAATCCAAATTACACCCCAGAGGACAGAGGAGGCAGGGGACAAAAACTCAAAACAGCTTTCAAAGTAGAAGTTTCGACCATGTGAGCCGCCATGTTGCGTACCAAATACAACATTAAACAGGAAGGATGTTGAATGCAGTTAAGCCGGTTCACCAAGCAGACTTCTGGGCAATTTACAGTACACACACACACACACACTTGAATTTACAGTCGTGCTCAGGACATAGTCTGTCCCTGGTTGTTATCTAAACGTGCACACGCATACAAACACACAAACAATCTTATCCTGGATCTTATGGTTTAAACTAAAACAAGCCTGAGGGACAAAAGTGCACAAGTTGGTGCAAACACCAGCGCTACTATGGCCCTATAAAATACCTACAAACCCTCCTCAACGCTCACCAAGTAGCAGCACATTAAACCCACCGCTATTCAACCACCTACAAGTCTGACCTACCAAAAAAAAAAACCCCCAAAAAAACCAACCCAAAAACTTATTTTTCCACTCCCCAAACAGTTAGGCCCCCAAACATCCCCTGAAATGTTTACATGTAACAGGAGAGGAAAAACAAAAAACAACAACAAAAAAAAACAAAAAAAAACCCAACACCTAATGACGGCAGCCCCCACTCACCAAATACAAGTCCTCAACCTCCAGCTCAATCAAAATAAAGCAATGTTTACATAGTAACAGTTTGCGCTTTCAGTGTGAGGTTGGTTCATTTATGGGGTGAGCCAAGAAAAGAAAACATTCATCCGATGTATGACATGGAACGATAATCGTTCTGTTTTGGATTTTTTCTTTTTTTTTGCAAAACACTTGATAAAATAAACAATCCCGTTGGGAGGGAGAGAAAATACACAGGAGAGGATCCAGAGTCACAGTTAAGACCATTTTTTTCTTTTCTTTTTTAGCCCCCCCCTTCCCCCGCAGCCAGGTTTAAGTTCGTTCTAGGATGATGTATTTATACGTTCTGCAGTTTAAAGCCAAGTGCGCAGGATAGACTGATAAACGCTGTCGTTTCAGTTCCAACCGGGAGGGGATGTCTCGACCACGGACTTTTGAACTGTCGGGAGGAGTTTGGCTTGAAATGGTCAAGCTCAAAGGGAGCGATCCCAGCAGAGAGCGTCAGGTGTCTTCACGTGCAGCTTCCTCTTAGGATCGTCTGTTCTCCGCTCATGTATTTGTAGTCTGTGTCCAAAAGTGACAATGGGCTTTCGTTTGTTCAATTACACATTTTTTATTGGGGATTTTTCGGATTCAGTGTAGTCTCCTGTGAGGGCAGAAAAAGACACGAAAGAAGAAAGAAAGAAAAAAAAAAAGATTCATTAATACAGGCCGTGGGGACTGTGCTGAAAAACAGACTGCAGCAAAGACAGAAAAAATGTGAAAATTTATATCAATTCTATATCTTTTTTGTTGTTGTTTTTGGTGTTTTACAGAAACAATGTGGCCACAGGCAGAAGTTCTTTGTGCTGCCAGCATTTATTTTCTATTCAAACACTATTAAGTTCAGCACTGACGCAAAAACTTTGAGGGTGCAGCTTCTCCCAACCCCACCCACACACGCACACACACACACACACACAGTGTTTTGTGAACACTGAGAAATCCAGAAGCAGGGAGTTTTGTGACGCAAATGCTTGATGTCACTATTAACATTTTTTTACAGCAGAAGCCCTTATTTCAGGAGTAGAGCAGCACTCTAAAAATGAGTCAGCGGGGGAAAAGGCTGCCTTTTGGGCTCGATCAAAGAGCAACTTCCAGCCATTGATAACTAGCAGACGTCCCCTAAATGTCCCCTGATGCTTGACAATACAAGTGAGTCAATCAAAAAGACTCCCGTGTTAAAAACAAAAACCTTTACACCATTTACAAAACAAAAACATTTTGGCCTCCAAGCATAGTTTTGCCCAGAGCAGAGTGCAGTTTTTCTTAGAACTCATCCACCTGAAAAATGGAGTTAGAGGTGCAGCCACTTTGACTGGAAGGCAGAGCTGAGCAGCTTCTACTCAGCCTCAACCACTACTTTGGTTTATTTTATTATAAATTATATTGGAGCATTTTTTAACGGATGGATCTGACGAACTATTATCAAACTGTAACAGACGGAGGTAGTTTCCTGGTCTGAAAAGCGAAACCAGTGCAGCAGTGTCTTAAACCTGCATTATTTCTAAATGGCCACCAGGGTGCAGTCTCTCTGGTTGCTTTTTATGGGAAAAGACGTCTCGGATTTGACCTTTGAACACTTTCCTGACGAAATTATGTGCACAGTCCCAGACAGTGGAGTCTGTTCAAGTGGATGTATCCACATCAGCATAATCCAAATGAACAAAATCATCTTACTGGGATTTCCTAACCTGGGTGACATGTTGGCTGAGTCACTCATTTTCAAAGCCATGCTGTAAAACTCAGAAACCAGTCTTACTTGTTATCATCTATCGTCCACCTGGGCCTTACACAGAGTTTGTCTGATTTCTCAGACTTTTTATCTGATTTAGTTCTAGCTCAGATAAAATAATTATTGTGGGTGATTTTAACATCCATGTAGATGCTAAAAATGACAGCCTCAACATGGCATTTAATCTGTTATTAGACTCAATTGGTTCTCTCAAAATGTAAAAGAACCCACCCACCACTTTAATCACACTCTAGATCTTGTTTTAACATATGGCATAGAAACTGAACATTTAACAGTGTTTCCTGAAAACCCTCTCCTGTCTGATCATTTCCTGATAACATTTACAATAATTGATTACACAGCAGTGGAGAGTAGACTTTATCAAAGTAGATGTCTTTCTGAAAGCGCTGTAACTAAGTTTAAGAATATAATCCACCCACTGTTATCATCTTCAATGCCCTGTACCAACATAGAGCAGAGCAGCTATCTGAACGCTACCCCAACAGAGGTCGATTATCTTGTTAATAATTTACCTCCTCACTACGTACGACTCTGGATACTGTAGCTCCTGTGAAAACTAAGGTCTCTAATCAGAAGTACCTGACTCCGTGGTATAATTCTCAAACACGTACCCTAAAGCAGATGACTCGTAACTGGAGAGGAAATGGCGTGTCACAAATTTAGAGGATCATCATTTAGCCTGGAGAAATAGTTTGCTGCTTTATAAGAAAGCCCTCCGCAAAGCCAGAACATCTTACTATTCATCACTGATTGAAGAAAATAAGAACAACCCCAGGTTTCTCTTCAGCACTGTAGCCAGGCTGACAAAAAGTCAGAGCTCTTTTGAGCCAACCATCCCTTTAACGTTAACTAGTAATGACTTCATGAACTTCTTCACAAATAAAATTTTTATCATTAGAGAAAAAATTACCATAATCATCCCACAGATGTAATATTATCTACAGCTACTCTTAGTACCATTGATGTTAAGTTAGACTCTTTTTCTCCAATTGATCTTTCTGAGTTAACTTCAATAATTACTTCCTCCAAACCATCAACCTGTCTTTTAGACCCCATTCCTACAAAACTGCTCAAAGAAGTCCTGCCATTAATTAATTCTTCGATCTTAAATATGATCAACCTATCTCTAATGATCGGCTATGTACCACAGGCCTTCAAGCTGGCTGTAGTTAAACCTTTACTCAAAAAGCCATCTCTAGACCCAGCAGTCTTAGCTAATTATAGGCCAATCTCCAACCTTCCTTTCATATCAAACATCCTTGAAAGAGTAGTTGTCAAACAGCTAACAGATCATCTGCAGAGGAATGGTTTATTTGAAGAGTTTCAGTCAGGTTTCAGAGCTCATCACAGCACAGAAACAGCTTTAGTGAAGGTTACAAATGATCTTCTTATGGCCTCTGACAGTGGACTCATCTCTGTGCTTGTCCTGCTAGACCTCAGTGCAGCGTTCGATACTGTCGACCATAATATCCTATTAGAGCGATTAGAACATGCTGTAGGTATTACAGGTACTGCACTGCAGTGGTTTGTATCATATCTATCTAATAGACTCCAATTTGTTCATGTAAATGGAGAGTCCTCTTCACACACTGAGGTTAATTATGGAGTTCCACAGGGTTCAGTGCTAGGACCAATTCTGTTTACATTATACATGCTTCCCTTAGGCAGCATCATTAGAAGACATAGCATACATTTTCACTGCTATGCAGATGACACCCAGCTCTATCTGTCCATGAAGCCAGATAACACACACCAATTAGTTAAACTGCAGGAATGTCTTAAAGACATAAAGACCTGGATGGCCGCTAACTTTCTGCTTCTTAATTCAGATAAAACTGAGGTTATTGTACTCGGCCCTGAAAATCTTAGAAATATGGTATCTAACCAGATTCTTACTCTGGATGGCATTACCTTGGCCTCCAGTAACACTGTGAGGAACCTTGGAGTCATTTTTGACCAGGACATGTCCTTCAACGCACATATTAAACAAATATGTAAGACTGCTTTCTTCCATTTGCGCAACATCTCTAAAATTAGAAATATCCTGTCTCAGAGTGACGCTGAAAAACTAGTTCATGCATTTATTACTTCCAGGCTGGACGACTGTAATTCATTATTATCAGGATGTCCAAAAACTCACTGAAAAGCCTTCAGCTAATCCAAAATGCTGCAGCAAGAGTCCTGACAGGGACTAGAAAGAGAGAGCAATTTCTCCTGTTTTGGCTTCCCTTCATTGGCTTCCTGTTAAATCCAGAATTGAATTCAAAATCCTGCTCCTCACATACA